TCCTCCAGGGATCTAGTCCAAGGAGCTTCCTTATGTCTTAGGGAGTCATTGCTTTTCTTTCTTCCCCTGACTGAATATTCAAAAAGGTTCTCTCATGTTGAGCCCTTTCTTCCTTGTATCTGGTTAGTCTCTTAGAAGTGCTCTCACATCTTCAGTGGGGCTTCCTCAGTTCCCTTTATACCCACATCCTCTGGTTCTTAAGCTCATTAAAAATAAAACCAGGCAGCACACCTGGGAACCAAATGTGCAACAGAGCAGACCTGGGATGCCCTGCAGTCTGATGAGAGGCCTTAGTCATAGATACCTGTGCAGTGCTAGGAAATGAATCTGGCTATCCCTGGGAGCTCAACTCATGACAGGCGGCAAATGACAGCTCACAGAACTAGTCCATCAGACATCAGTGCTCATTTGGTACCAAGAGAGGAGGAAAACATGTTTGGTATATAAAATGATGGGAAAAAAGTAGACTAAACATAGCATTTCAAACACTTACTATCAGTAGGACAATAGTTGATAACTATCTAGATAAGAAACACAGGTCCAGTTGTAGAGCTATGTTGCCAACCACCAACAACCAAGGAATCAGTGTTGGGTACCAAGCAGGCCTTGTAGGAGCTCATGGCAAAGCTGGCCCAGGGATGGGTATAACTTAGAGCCATCATGCTTCCTGGAGGCAGCTCTTTAGGCAAGACCCTCCCTCTGCCCTGAGCTTTCTAGAAGCCAGTGGCAGCAGGCCCAGGAACCCTGCAGTGGGAATGAAATTCATCCAGAGCAAGATCCACGTGTACTGTCAGACTTCTCCATCCAGCCAAGAAATAGGTAACCCCAAGAGGGTTAGTGTGCAATATGCGGGACCAGAGGAAGAGACAAAGAGGACCAGGGAGAGTTGAGTGTGATAGAGAGGGACATGATGGGGTTAGGATGGGGGCACGGCTGGTGTAGGATGGCATACATTGCATATTGATTTACATCTTCTTAGCAGCTTCTATGCCTACTGGCTGGGCAGACACTGCTCCCTGTGGGGCGAGACTGTCTTCACTCTAGTTCAGAGCTCTAGGGTATACACAGCTTCAGGTCACAAATCCCAGAGGGCTGGCTGTGAAGAATCAATGAAAATCCACCCACAGAAGTAACCTAAAGTTCCTTTCAAGCATCTATAACAACTCCCCATTGCCAGGTCTATGACACCATGCTCTTAGTGTAGTTCTGTACAAGTATCTAGAAGGCAGAATGATGTGTGTTCTTGTAACATTTCCCACATGCTTAAGGGATAACAACACCTACTTTACATTTTCTAGGCTCTCACTGTGCTCATTAAGAATATTCCCCTTCTTCAGTGAACCCCACTATATTACAGATAAACCATGTTCTTACTGCTCCAAATCTGGTCTCCCATGACTACCTAAGCTTCCAAAGCCCTCCAACATGCTGATGTTTACCTGCCTGTGAAAACATCAGCATCCTTCCTGACTGGGCCCATCCCAATTTTCCCCACAGCCATCTTCAATTACTCTGACATACAGGATCTTGCCTATATCTAAAAGCTTCCTATGCTGGTCTGCACTGCCTGCTCAGCACAGAGCAGTGTGTCTGTTCTATTTTGTGTTGTTCATCCTTTCTCTCTGAATAACTTCAACTTTTCCATGGTCATTTTAAATTCTATGCACTTGCCCCTTCTCCTATATCACCAGCTTTGGGAGTACAGAGGATGCCTGATTCATGTCTAACAACCGCTGCAGTTTGGATCATGGGTATCCCAGAGGCCAATGTTCTGAAGGTGTGGTCTCCAGAGTGACACAATTGTGAAGTGGAAGGACCTTTGGTGGGATATAGTGGGAGGTGTTAGGTTGTTGGAGACATGCCTTTGAAGGGAATTGTGGGAATCTAGCATCTTCTCAGGTATTATGTTATAGTAAAAGTTGACCAGCAGAGGCTTTTCTTATGGCAAGAATGTCACATTGCCATCGCTACTCTATATTATTGGTGGTCCCATAATGATACCAGCAGAAGGCCCACAGCTGTTATCTTTCAAATCCATCATTTAACTTGTATGTAAGAACACTGAAGCCCAGGCAGGCGAATTAAAAGTTGCATAGCTTATGACCCTAAGTTTAATCTTCTCTATGCACCAGTCCATGGAGTGGCTTAGCCCAATTTCATGTACTCTTCAACATGGATGTCTATGATGGGGCTGGAAACAATGAACCACAATGATGTTTGATAGCTTCCACTGTTACATGCATCGCAAGGGAATCAGGGATTATTTCCCAGGGACATAATTATAGTTCCGTTTTACTAAGAAAGCAGCTAAATAATTACGATTCTCCAAACTCAGATGCCATCCCAGATAAGAGATAACTGCCCATCTTTCTCTACGAGTCTAAATTCCAGACATCTCCCAAGACTGTGAACTAGCCACCTAGTTAGGAATTTCCTCTGAGGAGTTTTATGGCTTCTCTTAAAGAAGTTGTTTTTGATTTATGTTGATCATGTCTGACAACCAGCATTTCTCTTAATAATAATCATAAATAAGCAAGACAAGGTCACCTAACCCGAAACGAACATGTCTTCCCTGCACTATTCATCACAGAGCCCGCCATCTATGGCGGCTGATCACAGAGGTCTGATGCTCTTGGCACTCCATATTAAATCCTGTCTCCAGCACCTTCACTGGCATTTTTATGTCTCATCATTTTCCTTCAATAGTCTTCTAATAGGAGCCTCTCTAAGGACAGTGGTTAGGGTAGGACTTGGCTGAGCAAGGGCATGTGCACAGCCACGGTTGTTTCCCCAGGAGTTATTCTACATGTGGGTTCTTTTACCACATTCTACTTGTTTCTTTGTTCTTTGACATCGCTCCAATGTAACAGCCAAACAAATATATTAAAAAGCCTTCCAGAATGTGAAAGAATAAAGCAGAAGGGTAGATGTGCTAAATGAGAACAGACAAGCACTCTAGTAGGAAAACACAAGTGACCTCAAAGCAAACATCACACCATTCTCCTGACTTTGAAGACCAACACTCGGTAGATAGCACAACAGTGCTTGTCAATCAGCTCCTGGAAGGCGGGTTTTATTTCCCATAAAGACTGGGGTACATAAACTGTTTTGTTATTTTCAGTGACTAATCTCAGTACATTTCAGTGCCTTTGGGCCTGGTGATAGATCACAGTGGCTGCTGTGTTACAGCAAGAAACTTGTCTTATCCACATGGGGGTCTATTGAAAGGTCTGTTGCTGAGACAGGATTGAAGTAAGAGTCTAGTCTGAGCACAGCAGAGCCTAGGAAACACCAGCTGGGAAATGCAAATGCCATCAAGCCAACAGTCATGATGGTATCTGAGTCCACCTAGAACAAATGTCTCACTGAGGCCTTGTTCTATGGATTATGATGGGCTGGGTAAACAGATAGGGTTCTCTATACCATGGCATTTGGAGATGGGAAACCATACAACTGGGTCATCCCTCAAAGTTGATTTCTTTACCCAAGGAAGACAAATGATTTATGGTGGACAATGATCTCAGCACTCATATGGAGAGGTTCATTGCAGAGCTTCGGTTCACAGATACAGAAAAAAAAAAGCAAGTCCATGATGGATCATAAAAGCCTGTGGGCTATCCTGGTGCAGCTGCTAGAAAGAAAAGGATCTGCTTATGAGTGTCACCCCATCTTTTAATCCTAAATGGGTTGGTGGCACTGGTATACAGGGCAGAGGATTCAGTAAACTCACTTGCAGAGTGGCACACAGGAGTGGATATCACACAGGAGCAGACATCACGCAGGAGAGGACATCATACTCTGCTGCTCTCACTCAACCAAGGTCTAGAATTGCACATGGGATGTAAGACTTTGTTTCATTAAAAAAATGTTCTACATTGGTGGCTCATGCCTTTAAATCTCAGCACTTGGGAGGCAGAGGCAGGCAGACCTTTGTGAGATCGAGGCCAGCCTCATCCACATAGTGAGTTCTAGGTGGGCTGGAGATGTGGGAGACCCTGAGAAAGAAAGGAAGGAAGGAAGGAAGGAAGGAAGAGAAAGAAAGAAAGCTCTTGGGCCAAAGAACAAGTAGGGATGATTTCCTTGGATTCTAGTGAACTAGTAAACAGATGATTGCAGACAAAATCTCTACATAGCCTAAACTATTGTTTCTCTCCCTCCTCTTACTTCTGTACATGGACCTTTCACCTCATTTACTCCCTGGATGCCTGGGCTACCAGCTCTGACCTTGGTCTTCACCTTGCTCCTTGTAACCTTCTGTCAAATGTCCACCCCAAACTCCAATGAACACATTAGGGGCTCAGACATGAGGTCTTTGTACATAGGTGCCTTCTGACAGCAGATTCCTGGAGATGGCAAAGGTTCCCCTTACCAACACGAGGGGCAGCATAGTGGTGGGTATATATTGTGTTACACTGGGGGAAGGGCACTGCAGGACCTGTGGCTGGTGTCCATGCACATTTATCCTCAAGTGTGTTTGGGGTGGCACTGGAGGAAGACCCTTCCCCATTGCACTTTCAACAAGAGGAACTGTGCTCTACCCATGTCCCTGAGAGAGACAGCCAGGTTCTTGGAAGCAGCCTGCCCCATATACAGGCTTCTGCAGCGATTAGGTCATAAGGTAGTGGCCCAGTAGAATATTCAGCTCTTGAGTAGATAACACTTATATGACTGGGCAGAGGGGAAAGGGTAGCAAAGAAACCAAAAGTTGGTTCCCTGCCTGGCACCGCCACAGTTGGGTGCCAGCACCCAGGCCTCATCACGGTCACCTTGCTAACCATCCAGAGATGTCCCCTGTTGTGTAAGAATGCACATAACAGGGTATTTTGTTCAGCAAAGTCTTTGGGGTTGTCTCTAGCCCAGGTCTCAAATTGCAGGGTACTGGGGAAAGACCTCAGGCCTCAGTTCCCTCAGAGCTGTCGGCCCATCATGGCTGGCCTAGAGCAAGGGAGGTCTCAAAAGCATGAGGCCTGGGTCTTCCCAGCCCACGTCTGGGTGCCTACCTGAATTGGACCGTTTTTTGGGGGTTTTGAGGCTCCTGCACCTCCCTCCCACGGAGCTGCTGTTCTCACTCATGGAGTCCTGGGCGGAGGATGCGCTGCCGGTGGCTTCACTGTCCCTCATCATGCTCTCGTAGCCACTGCTGCCTCCGCTGTGGTAGAACAGGGCGGTCTTCCCCATGGCGGGTGGCAGCTCCCCACTCAGCACACTGCTGTTGTCGCTGCCGTGCCCACTGCTGCAGCGGTGCGGCTTCCGCGGTGGGGTGATCTTGCTGTAAGGCGATGGCAGCAGGTGCGCAGCAGCCGTGGGCTTATCCTCCGGGGTAGCCCCGCAGCGCTCCTCGGCCTCGGGCCCAGCCCGCAGCTGTGCGCCCCGCGCCCCCGCGCTGCCCTGCAGCAGCTCGGAAATGCGCCCGTTGACTGCTCGCAGGGGCAGTTTGGAAGCCAGCCCGGAGCCCCGGCTCCTGCTGAGTGACTGCGTGGACCAGGACATGTGCTTCCCGTTGGGCGGCAGATTGGAGCTCTGGCCCACAGACTGTGGCAGGGACTTAGTGGAGAAGCTGAGGGTTTTGGTGGTCGAGGTGGACAGGCTGCGTGATTTGGGGCTGGCTAGCAGGAGCTTGCTTACTGCAGAGATCTTGGACTGGCTGGCCTTTGGCGAGGCCCCCGCCGACTGGGTGATGCCACAGTTGGGTGGCGAGGCTCCTGTGCTACGACCCAGGCTCCTGCCGGTGCGGGGCATGGTGCTGTCTTTGCCCGCATGCATGCGGGAGCTCATGGACGACAGGCTCTCCGCCCGCTCCAGTGATAGGCATTCGTAGTGGCTAACTGTTGTTCTGCCAAGAGAGTTAGTTCTGCTGGCCAGCTGCTCGAGCTTGGCGCTGAAGAGCTTGCTGCTACTGCTGGACTCCTTTGCCTTGCTGGTGGACTCATCAGGGAAGCAGGCCAAGAAGGTAGAGGGCTGGTTGAGGGGGCTGCTGGTGCTACTGCTGCTGGCGCTGTGCTGGGGACTGGCCCGGTTCTTCTGGTCCAAGCTGGACTTGCGGACAGGAGGAAGGGGTGGTGTCCCTTTGGGCCGAGTCAGGACACAATGTTTGGGTGAAGCCACCTTCCTTTCCAGGGTTGTCTTTGAGGGCTGGGTGCCCAGAGCCCCACTGAAGCCGTTGGTGTCTGCCAGGCAGTGGTAGAAGAGGCTGTCCAGGTCTTCTTGTCTGCTGGCCTTCTGAAATGCCCTGGGGAGGCTGCTGGACTTCAGGCTTTTGTTGGAATACACTGGACTCTGGGCCACCAAGCCAGGCAGGGCCATCTCACAGCCATCCACAACTCTCCTAATGTCAGTCACCTGCGAGGCAGTTACCTCCCCACTGTTCCTGCTCAGCCTGTCACCGGAGCCAGGCCTGCCATCCTGCTCCTGCTCTGGCCTGGCTTCTGATTTCGGGGGGCTTGGGACAGTCTCACACCTAACCCCTTCTTCACTGGGGTACACATTCTCCTTTTTCGCCTCCTCTTCTCGTTTCAGCCAGGGATCTTCAAATTTCATCTCTTTCCTTGTACTGGCTTCCTTGCTGTCTTGGGACTGGACTGTTTTGGGGACTGCTTTTGGGACAGCAGTGGATGACTCAGGCTCTTGCACATTTCGGGGGTTCATGGCAATGCAGGGGTAAACTGTGATGTTGGTCTTCATGGGGATGTACCCTTCACAACTGCTCAGACTGGCCGTGTTGGAGATTGTAACCATGGCCTTGCCCAGTGTGGATATTTTGCAGCTTTTGATGGGAGTGGCTTTGTTGAAAGAATCTTCTCCCATCTCAGATAAGATGAGTAAGTTATCAGGGCCTGCCTTGGGCTTCTCTCTGCACACCACGGCGGTGTTCTGGATGCTGTTGACAAACTCCGAGGCTGGGGGTTCTGCCATGGCTTCCCCGTGCCCGAAGCATGTCTGTGCTATGAAGCTGTGGCAAGACTGCTCACCGTCACTGCCTGCGCTCATCTCACTCAGCCAGGAGCTGATGGAGGAGCGCCGGCTGCTTGCCTCCCGTGACTTCTCATCCAGGCCCAACTTTGGGAGCGGCAGGAACTGTGTGATGCTCACCTCAGAAACAGGTGCTATGCTAGAGTAACACTCCAGGTCCTCACTGATGCTGCTGATGATGCTGACAGGCCGGGAGCCTGAGGCCAGGGCCTGCACTGAACAATCACTGTTGAAGCTGATGATGCTGGTGGGGCGGCCACTGTCGAGGACCCCGCTGATGGTCAGCTCCTCCACCAGTGTGAACACCAGCTCGTCCTCCCCATTCAGCTCCAGTGGCTGCTGTACTGTCACCATCGTGGTGCTCAGAATCTCCTTCTTGGCGTCTGCAGGAGGGGCTTCCTGATGCTCACCCTCGACCAGAGATTCTGGGAACCCTTCACTCCCAGCAGACATGGATTTCTTCAAAACCTGGGGGCTCATTCCAACGGGGGGTGTACGCACATCAGGCTGGAGCAAGGACTCACTAGAGACCATGCCTGAGTCCTTGCTCAGCGATGGTGGTGGGGCAGAGGAGGGCAGCACCCCCTTCTGGGTATAGACTTTACACCTCTGGGAGGGAGAGCTGGGGGGTTTGTATTCTGAGGTCTTAGATAGGCTGGCAACACCCAGCCGTGGGGAGCCCATGGGCCTGGGCTTACCCTCCACAAAGCCACATGAGTTCAGGCTCTCGCGGCTGCTCTGGAGGCTGGGGCTCTGTGTGAGCTGGGATGTGCTGTGCTGGCTACTGCTGCCTGGGATGTTCCTGGGTGAGGCTGGACTGGGGCTGCTGCTTTGCATCACTGCAGGCACAGGAGAATGATTCTGCTGCATCTTGGATACCAAGGGCTCTGTGCCTTCCCTGTCTGTCAACTGGCCACTTTCTGACCCATTATCTTCCTTATCGGATTCAGAGAGTGTGTCTGGCTCGGCTACTTGGCTTAATGAAGCACATCTGCCTGCTTGCTCTGGCCCAAACTGAATGGGTAGCTCTTCGAAGGGAAACCTGTTGGGCTCTTCACTGCCATCAATGCAGTCTAGTCTTTCCTGTAGTTCAGCAAACGTGTTGCACTTCAGGCAATCCCTTTCTGACTTGTTGGCTGCAGCCTCTGCTGCCTCCAGAGGCCGGCTCTCACCCCTGGTCTTTTGCAGGGCTGGCACGATGGGGACGAAGTCTGGGGGACCCTCATTGTCAGTAAGCTCTTTGTCAGACAGGGCAGTGCCGTTTGGCCCAATGTAGATGACAGTGTCACAGGACTGCTCACTGCTGGAGGAGTAGTCAGGATCACTAGACAGCGGGGCGAGGGGGAAGTCGGGGTCCACTGGAGCCCGGGCATGGAAGGGTCTCAGCTGAGTGGGCCTGCGCATTCTGCCCTCCTCACAGGAACTTTCTCCCCCAGAGGAACTTGACGTGTACTGCAATGTGAGCGAGAGAATAGTTAAGAAAACAGCTCTTCCAAGACTGCCCTCCCTCCCAGGAAGACAGTGTCACACACAGGTGCAAACTGCTGACTGGACCCAGCTCTTGAAGGTCAGCCTGCATAGTGGCTACTACTCACTGGGCCATACCAGGGCACCTCCCTGTCTCACATCATGGATATGTGCACACAGGATAATTTACAAACAGCACACTGGCAAGTTAGTCTGCTTGGGAAAGGAGGTGACCAGTCCAGGCCCTACCTGATTTTCCTCAGGGTTAGTCCCATGCTTCAGAACATTGGCTATGAAGCCTTGTTTTATTCTTTTTTCTTTAAGGCACATAAAAGGGAAAGGAGGAAAAATTCCACTCATCACCAGTTGTCCCAATCAACATGGGCCATGGTTTTCTCAAACATTCTTGCAACACTACCACTATCCTGGCTTTGCTTTGTGCCCTAGAAAATGGGATAACTGACATGCAGTGACCCAGTATCCTGCCGAAACCACCAAGTTAGCATAAGATCCCACATTCAGAAAGCTCCTGGACACGCAGGGAAGTAGGGCCACGTGAGGAAAGCATTAGCCCTTTCTCTGGAGCCCTAGACTCCTTCAACATCTTTCATCCCATTAGCAATCCCTCTCAGGAGTCAGGCTGGATATCTTAGGAAAGCATCAGCAGAGGAGAGAGGACTTTCTCCTGGGTCAGTTGGATGGCTTCCCTGCCCTGACGTGGTAGCTTGGCAGCCACATTTATACAGTCCTTCATGCTCAGAAAGTGGTAATACCAGTTTGGCCCTCTGTGACTCAGTTGTCTTCCCTAAGGAACCCCACTTTGAGCTCCTTACCTTTGTCTTCTTCTTCTTCATCCTTAAGACCCTTGATGCGATCTGGATGGTGGACAGGGTTTCTGCGTAGCTCCCAGCCGCGGCTGAGATGTGTGCGATCATGGTGGTGCGACAGTTCACGTTCCCCAGAGACTCCCGCAGCAGCATGGTGAGCTTGCTCTCTCTGCCAAACAAAGTGGATTAAGGCTGCATTAGTGGGCCATGCCTCATGCTGGCTGTCAGGGCAGGACTTTAGGTCTATGCATGGCTATTTGGTTGTGGGTGGTGGTTTTCTTTCTTCTTCTTTTTTTTTTTTTTAATGGCATACTAATTAGCATCGCTTTGCAGCATGGGGCTATTTGTAGTTGGCAGCTGGGCAAGTGCTTCTAACTCCAAGGATGGAATTCACGCAAACACCTCCCTTGGCACTTCTGTCCTGGCCACAATGGGCTGTTCTGGTGTGTCTGTTTGTGTGAATATGACTTAGTACATAATGAGGTCTGGGAATAGAGACAAGGAGAGGGGATCTAGAGAAAATGGTTTTGTGACCAGTGATCTGGCATGCTCTCTGCATACACAGGCCTTCTCAGCAATTTTCTGCACACAGGTAATCCCTGTAATGGAAAAAAAAGAAAAAGAAGTCCCCCTGCTGTGAACTTGCACTGAAGTCCCACGTGTTTATAATACATGCAAAGTCCTTTTTTGAGCAAAGAGTGGCAAACATGCTGTTGTCATCATCTCTTAACTCTCCGATTTGTACCTAGTAGCATTGAAGACTGAAATTCCTGATAAGCAAGAGGGGAAACACAGACAAGGCCTAAATAGTCACCTAGCAACAGAAAGAACTAGAACTAGAAAGAACTTTCTAGAAAGATTTCCTCTGGGAACTGTGCAGTTGCTATGTGGGGGCCAATATCCTGATTAGTGATACAAGGCTCAGGGCACTGCAGTTGGTTTCTACGCTTTTAAGGAACTGACCTGAAGGAATGGCTCATGCTTTTCCATTTCTGCACTTGCATTTGAAAGGTCTCTGCTCACATCCACAGCACACATCCAGAACATACAGTCCCTAGGTGAAGTATCATTTCATCCTTGGAGCACCCCCATCTGAAGGCTGAGGCTGTCTCTGGGTTTCTGATGAACTGGATTTTGTGATCCTATGATGTGTTTGTAACCCCAGGTGGGAAGAGTCATCTTATGTCCATGTTCCTGAAGATCCCCTGGAGATGGACTGTTCAGCTCAGCAGACTTTGTGAAAGATGCTGGCCACTGTCAGCAGGGCATAGGGGTTTTTCGCATGACTTATGCCTGGCTTCAGGGAGGAGAGATTGTGGTATAATAGTTTTTCCTTCCTACCTGGGACCAATTAGGGTGTTCATTTGGGAATGCTGGGCTGGTGTGTGTGGCTCAGCTCCAGAGCAGTTTATAAATATACAAGGGCTTCTCTTCAGCAAAATAATCAGTGATAAAAGTGGTACAAGGAAGGGGGGATGGAGAGGACTGTCTGCACACATTTAGCTCCCTTCAAAGTGTACCCTGCAGGCATGTCTCAGCAAGGATGTTGAGGCCTATTCCTGGAAGATGCTCAGCAAAGACAGTATATCTGAATGAGCCACAGGAAGTGGAGGATGGATTCCATTTGGGCTAGGCTGTGACCATACACAGTCTAGTCATATTATTCATGGTAGTTACATACTAGAAAGTATACCCATGATTAGGGACATTCAGCCATGGTTGGTAGAGAAAAATACACAGTTTAGGTTCCTGTGACTCTTTGGGTACAACAGTTTGGTCAACTATCAGTATGTTACCTTGTCTTATATGACTTTCTGTTGAAAGAAACTTTAATATATGTTTCTTATAAGTAGTGTTGTATACATAATACTTATTTAAAATAAAATGAATCATGAGGGTTTGGCAACCTCCTGGCCCTCAGGGATATGACAGTGGGTGTCTTTAACCTTCAGCCTCACAGCAATACTGCCCACTGCACTTCTCTTGAATTGTTAAGCTGATGTATCTACAAATTCAGTCTCTTCTTTATCATCTCCATAACTTCATAGTGAACCGTTGATGTGAACTGAACAGTTTCAGAGTGACCTGTTTACAGATAGACAAATTTCCTCTTCCTTATAGACATATCACACTCTAGATGCATTAACACTGAACATGAAGCCAACAGCACATGAACTCATGCCTGAACAAAGCTTATCTAATACACATATTCTCTCCATGAGGCACGCTGTAGCCTCCTTACATTTCATTCCATTAGAACCATGCTGGGAAGCCACTGGAAACAGTGAAATCACAGACAGAAAGCCTGAAAAAATCAAAAGCACAGGAGCCGAAAGCTCACAAGAAGGCAGAGTTCACCGTCACACCTCAGTTGAGAACAGGTGGGTTGGGAACTCAAAGTTTTCTTCACCCTGTGCATTATCCTTAAATCACTGTGAAAGTGCCACTAATATTGACTTGGGGATTACAAAGAAATTTTATCAAGTAGGCAATGTGCAAATACAGAATCTGCAAATGTTCCCTGGATGACTAAACTATGAAGCCCCTTGTGCTAAGTCTCCTTAACAAAGTGCACCTGGCCCAAGGCACGTTCCTTCCTTCAGTTCTCCATGTGATCCTGCAAGTCTTCAGGAAAGAAAATATACCAAAAGTAGGTAGCATGATCATTCCACCAGCCTGCCAGTCCTGCATGTTTCATGCCATTCTTATTCGAGATACAATCATGGACAAATGTTCATGGCTTTTTTTATTTTTTAAGTCCACAGTATTGGAAGAAACCATGACATATGTGTTGCTTCTTCAGTTCTCCATGTGATCCTGCAAGTCTTCAGGAAAATATACCAAAATCAAGTAGCATGATACAGCATTCCACCAGCCTGCCAGTCCTGCATGTTTCATGCCATTCTTATTCGAGATACAATCATGGACAAATGTTCATGGCTTTTTTTATTTTTTAAGTCCACAGTATTGGAAGAAACCATGACATATGTGTTGCTTGGCAACCAGCAGAACTGTTAGCAAGACCTACTAGGTCTCTCGACTCAAGGGAGTAAAACGGGTAGCTGGAGAGCTGTGGCTTTTTCAAGCCCATGATGATGCTTTGACTGGGAACAAAGATCATTGAGGAGCAGGAGCAGGAAGGGGCAGGGTACCAAAGGCTACGAGCCAAACTGAGTATTCTTGGAAGGATCTGAAAGGTTTCAGAGTTTCCAGGCTACTGGACATCACCAGGTCAGTTGACACCTTTGTATCAAGACTTGGGAGCTGCTGGAGGGGGAGTGTCAGGCTACCTGGAGGGAGCAGAGTCACTGGGTCCATGGACCTAGAGGCTGGTTGGGTAATAGGAAGGGCAGAGCATGAGGCAGGACTGAGCAGATCTGGGGAAGGACCAGGTCATTCTTTCATATAATCATCTTTTATGGCCATACATTCCAGCTTCTGTCCATCCTGACTCCAGATAACTTTTTTCTTGTTTTGTTTTGTTTTGTTTGTTTTGCTTTTATTTTTTGTTTGACAGGATCTCCCTAGCTCCAGCCTACCTGGAAGTCACTATGTAGACCAGGCTGGCCTCAATCTCAAAGAGATCAACCTGTCTCTGCCTTCTGAGGGCTCGGAGTAAAGGCATACTCCACTACGCCTGGCATCCCAGGTAACTTTTAAAGTGACTAAGGAAAAAAAATCTTATTTCTAAAAGTAAGATAATCCTTTTATTAGACATAACAAAATTAGCAGAAAAAAACCAGGACAATGAACACATATGATTCTTTTTTTTTTTTTTTTTTAACTGCTGGGATGGAACCCAGGGCCCTGGGCATGTTAGGTAAGTACTTCATCACTGAGCCATATCCCCAGCCAATGAACATATTTTAATTGCTAATAATTTTTAAAGAACATGTAGTACTTGAGAACAGGTGCTGACAAGTCAAGGCCATGCAGGCCAAATTTGATTCACTGCTTGTTTTTATTTATAAATAAAACTTTATTAAAACATAGCCGTACCTATTTGTTTATAGGCACCATGTCAGAGCCTGGTCCTCTGCAGAACAGTATGTTGGTGCCTGTTCTAAAGTAATGCTACATGGTGATATCATTCCAAAGACAGACTCAGCAGAGAATGGAGGGAAATGAACAAGTTTCTTTAGTATTCTACGATCTCGTTTTCAGCAGTCTGTGTCACTTCTTTTTGTTCAGGTGTTTCATGGAGAAAGAGCTAGATTCAATTCCACAGACACCAGCAAAGAGGAGCAAGCACTTAGCTTCAGAAATCACTGAGCACCAGGCCCCAGACATTGTCACAGCTCAAATCACTTCCTGCTGCATGCAGAGCCAGTCTCCCCTTGCAAAGGGCTGCATGGCTGCTCATGTCCACTGAACTAATCAGCTTATTAGTGTGTGCAGCTGCTCATTTAAGGTGAGTCTATGGAGCACTGACTCAGGTACGAGAGATTGACTATACTCAAGAAGTCCATTATTCAATGAGAGAAATAGACATGCAAAGCCTCATTATGACAGCATTCCATAAAAGCTAAAGATAAGCGGTGTCAGCAAGATGGCTGCCTACATGTCCCTAGCATGCGGACCCTGGGAAAGATAGCCAAAGTCACAAGTAAACAGCTATATTTTGACAAAAATAGCTAAATGAGGGTGTCAGAGCACAGACATCCAGGGCAGCCACATAGTGAGAGGAAGTAGTGTTGAGGCAAACCTTGCATCAGCATCCTTACCTTGAACCCTAATTAAGACTAGCTTGGAAACAGGAGCGTTGTTTTCCCATATGAGAAAGGCAATCAAGAGGACTTCAACTATACCATCACCACCTTGGTTATCTGAATCCTTCACCAGAGGGGACCACCTCTGTCCATAGATGCGCAAAAGAAGCTCAATAGAGTTTATTTGTTGAGCTGCTCTGGAGAAGGAATCAGTGCTGTGCACCTTACCCAGCACCTGAGCTGACATGGTATCCTGCCTCATAGGGAATCAGTGCCTGTGTTGAGCCAAGTGGTTGCATCTCCTGGGGCTGAGCTGATGGGACAGCCCATGTCCTAAAGAAACAGCACTGGTGAGCAGGTACAACTTGCCCTTCAGGCCATATAACTGTAACACCTTGTTTCTCTAGAATTGAGCTGGACACCTTAAGTCTGAGCTGCCTTGCAGGAGGGTAGAATCATA